AGTCTGTTTCTCCCTCTCTCTCCCCTGCTTGTGCTCTCTTGCTCTTTTCTCTCTCTTTCAGATAAATTTAAAAATAAACAAACAAACAAAGTAGGCTTCATGACCCACTTGGGGCTTGAACTCATGACCCTGAGATCAAGAGTCTCATCCTCTGCGTTTTGCATTTTTCACTCATTATGTTTCTAAGATTCATTCAAATTGGGTCTATGTAGTTGTAGATCATCCTTTTTCATGGCTATACAGTAACCTGTAATGGGATTATACCACAATGGATTTATCCATTTCCCCAGTCAATGGACAACTGTCGTATTTTAAGTTTTTGCCAACAAACAATGTTACAATAAATACTTTTACACATGTCTCCAGATACACATACACAAGAAGTTTTCTAGGGCAATTTCACTTAGAGGTAAAATTGTAGATTGAATGGTATAGATATATTCAAATTTATAAGATAATGCCAGAAGTTTTCTGAGAGGCTATACCCACTTACATTCCTAACAAGAATATTTAAGAGTTCCTGTTACTGTATATTCTTGCCAACAATGTGTGGACTCAGTGTGGTCAAATTTAGGATTTTCTGCCACAACCTGGGAAATGTAAAATGTGATTTCATTGCAGTCTTTAAATCATATTTTCCTGATTATTAATAAGAAGGATCTTCTCATATAATTGAATATTTCTATTTCTTCTGTGAAGTCCTTATTTGCATTTTCCATTTTTCAAAAACATTCTTTTTTTCTTGTTAATTTATAGGAATTCCTTATTTCGGATTTTAATTTTGCTTATACACTTACAAATCCCTTCTTGCAGTCTATGGCTGTCTTCACATTTTAAAAAAGGTTTTATTGGAAATGATTTCAAACTTGCAAAAAAAAGTTGCAAAAATAAAAATAGTACAAAGAACATCTGTGTATGCCTTTTACTCATATTCACCTGTTATTAAACATTCTGCTCCATTTCTTTTATCATCTGTGTGTATTCATGCATGCACACTCTCCCTCTGTGTTTATACATGTTTGTGAGTATGTGTTTATATACATACATGCACACATATATAAACACACATATACACACTTTTTTTTTCTGAACCATATGCAAATCAATTTTATACATCATGGCCCTTTACCCTTATATAAGTCAGTGTGTATTCCTTAAGATCCGAGATATTCTCTTTATATAACTGTAGTACAATTACAAATAATTGACTTCAATAAATTTAACCCAATATCCTTTACGGTATATTTTCCCCTTTGGTACAAAATCTAGTCTACCGTTAGGCAGTGCATTTACCTGTCATGTCTCTATCCTCCTTTAGTGTGAAACATTTCCATGGCCTTTCTCTGACATTTTTAAAGAATGCTGCTCCCATCCTCCTTTTTTTCCTAACAGAACACTCCTCATTTTGTTTGTCTGATGTTTTCTAGTGATTAGATTCAGGTTACATTCTTGGATGAAGCGCTACACAAAATGTCTACCCATCCCTCTTTGGTGATGTTGCTTCTAATCACTTGATCAGGGTTTGTTCCATTTCTGCACTCTATAATTGCTTTTTTTTTTTTTTAAACCCTTACAACTAACAAAGGGCCTATCGAGAGACACCTTAAGACTATTTTTTCCCTCAAAATTTCCCCCTAAGGGCACCTGGGTGGCTCAGTGGGTTAAAGTCTCTGCCTTCGGCTCGAGTCATGATCCCAGAGTCCTGGGAACGAGCCCCGCATCGCATCGCATCGGGCTCTCTGCTCAGCAGGAAGCCTGCTTCCCCCTCTCTCTTTGCCTGCCTCTCTGCCTACTTGCGATCTCTGTCAAATAAATAAATAAAATCTTTGAGAGGAGGGGATGGGAGGTTGGGGGAGCCTGGTGGTGGGTATTGTGGAGGGCACGTATTGCATGGAGCACTAGGTGTCATGCATAAACAATGAATTCTGGGACACTGAAAAGAAATTAAAAAAAAAAAAAAGTTTTTAAATAAATAATTAAATAAAATCTTGAAAAAAAAAAAAAAATCCCCCAGAGGGGCACCTGGGTGGCTCAGTTGTTACGTGTCTGCCTTCGGCTCAGGTCATGATCCCAGGGTTCTGGGATCAAGCCCCATGTCGGGCTCCATGCTCAGCAGGAAAAGCCTGCTTCTCTTTCTCCCACTCCCCCTGCTTATGTTACCTTTCTCACTGTTTCGCTCTCTGTGTTTAAAAAAAAAAAAAAAAAGTTTCCCTCTAGATTTAATATCTACTGATGATTCCTGCCTGATCCAATCTTTACCAAAATGGTTGTATAATGTTGTTTCAGTCTTTATTAAGTACTTTTATAAACATTTTACCCCTAAATTTATCAATCTTTTCCTTTGTTGCTTATACTTTTTATGTTCTTTTTAATAAATTTTTTCTTACCCTCAAAGTACTAAAGATATTTCCTTACATTTTCTTCTGAAGGTTCCTTACTTATTCTTAATTATTATTTTAAGCAGTATTTTAAGCAATAACAAATAAATCAGTTTCATATGCCCTAAATCTGGCAAAAATTGTGTTGCAACAATTGCCTGTTATCAGTGGATTTCCATTTTTTTAAGTTAGTTTTGTATATGAACGATTTCTGGATTCTAAATTTAATTGTATTTTAGTATGATGTATATTTTAAACAATGCTTTTTCTCTTTAGAAAGTAGTTAACCTGTCAGATCTGGAACATTCTCTGCTTTCACTTCTAAACAACTTAAACAACAGGGCACTAATTTATAAGGCTAGCAGCTGATGTCTAATACTTAAAATGATAACATCATTGTTCCCTCTTCAGAGATGTGTAGGAGGGGAACTGTTGAGGGGAAATTAACTCCTTTAGTCAGGAAAAGGGTAAAAAGGGGAGGAAATTGTCACAATTTAATGCTTAAACAGATCCCTGAAATTCTGCATTTGAAAGGCTGAACTATGGAAAAAAATGGTCAGCAAGTTTGCTTTGTAGACACACTAATCTAAGTCTATTATTTCTATGTCTCAAGCAATTACCAAAAAAAAATTTTTTTAAACCTAACAAAGCTGTTTTTCTATCAGAAAGTAAGTGAAATGAATATAGTAATGTGCTTAAAAAATAAGTAATGTGTTCTTAGTCTGTTTTAGACATAGAGCAAAACCTCCCTGGTTCAGAGCAGTGAGAAGGAAACTTTTCTGCCACTTAGTGCACAGCATGTGTCAGGCAAGTCCTACATTACACACAAAATGCTAGTGCTACACTAATGACAAGCCAGGATTGTGTCGCTTTCAAAAAATGTCTATAATCTGTGTTATTCTCCAATGGTAACTATGTTATAGAAGTAAGAAAAGAAGCAAAGGCATGAAAACACTTTGACTGAAACTGGACCTGCAAACATTTGACTTCTGAAGTCAGAGAGCTGCTGGGAGAGCCGGAAAATGGGGTCGGCGTCACCAGTTGGCGTTTAGCACGAGCCCAATCCTCTCACCAGTGTTCAGGGAAAACGCGCACACCAGAAAAACACGCGCTTAATTCCAGCTTCCCGACATGGCCCAGCATTACACTGTTCCTCCACAGCTCAAGTGGCGGTGAGTACTACATCACCCAGATAGGAATGTTCCATATGCATCTTCACAAGTTGGTAACTCAAATCAACTATATTCCAAGAGGAATCAAGATAAGCCACTATTTTGTAAGAGAATGACACTAACTCTTAAACGATAAGCTTAATTATAAACCGAAGATGGTTCTAGAGGTCCTGTGGAAAGTAATGCCAAAACAGAAGCTGGAAATCATCTCAAACCCAGACTCTAATTCCTTAAAGAACAATGACTTAAAATACTGATATAAAACTTCCAGTGGGATCTGAAGGGGATCTTTACTATCTTGGACTTCAGATGCACAACAGGAGTATTTATTTAGAAACTACTTTAAAATGTGTGTGTCTGGGGCGCCTTGGTGGCTCAGTGGGTTAAAGCCTCTGCCCTTGGCTCAGGTCATGATCCCAGGGTCCTGGGATTGAGCCCTACATGGGGCTCTCTGCTCAGCGGGGAGCCTGCTTCCCTTCCTCTCTCTCTGCCTGCCTCTCTGCCTACTTGTGATCTCTGTCAAATAAACAAATACAATCTTTAAAAAAAAAAAATGTGTGTGTCCCATGACCAATAGGGAGCATTGAAATTTCTGCCAAGGGTCAGCTTTTCCTTAAGTTCCACTGCAACAGCTGGCTGGTAATCACCACATCTGCGTGCTCTAAGGAAAAGCTATCCCAATGTCAATCTATAAACAACTGTGTAAGTATTTAAATAAAATTATATTTTAGAGCTAATGCCAGTAAAATATACTTATTTTATAAGTAAAATGTACTTATTTTATAAGGAGGTACAGTGGTTTGTCTCCAATCCTCAACCTAAATACCCATCTATCTGCCTAAAACTAAATGTACTTTGTTAGAAGATGACAGCTAATTTCAGGGCCACAATTTATTACAAATAAACATTAAAAAAAACAAAACAGTGACAGGAATAAACTTAATTCTTCTGTCTAATTAGTAATAAGAAAGCAAAGAAATCCTTGGGACCCAAATATCATAGTATGGTTACCAGGAAAACACTTAGTGAATTCCTCAAAGCTTTCACCAAAGAGTTATATTAAATTTCCTTTCGGCAACAAATAAATTGGTTTCTCACTGGTAGAAGCTTAGGTCAGTCATCTAAATCAGGGAAAGCAGGACTACATGCCATTTACTGAAGAGTCACTTAAGAATAAACCGTGTCTCTCCCCATGGCATGTTTATGTCCCCTCTATCGAAGATTTACACTGGCGTGGTGCGTGATTATCTTGATTCCTTGCCACTTAGGATTAAAAAAAAATTACCTAAGCTTTAAAAAGCTTACATAAAAATGTGTAAACATCTATATATATATTTTTTATCTTCTTTGATGATGGAACACATGGATCTGAAATTTGGTGATACCCCGAGAAAAGAATAGGGTTCCTGTATCCACAGGGAAACAAGACAAACCCATGGCGTCCTCTCACCTGTGACACTGTGATGCTGCATTTCTTGGCCAGCTCCTCTTTGGCTTCTTCACTGGGGTAGGGGTTACTGAGGTGTGAGTAAAAATATTCATTCAAGATTTCTGTGGCCTGTTTACTGAAGTTACGCCTTTTTCGTCTATGACAAGAACCAAAAGAGAATTATAGTTATAATCAGCCTTAACCAAAGAGGGATATGTTGATTAGAATTAGATGAAAAAAAATAGATTTCTATTTTTAAACATTCTCAGGGAATGATTTATCACCATGATATTGCAGTTGTGCTCTTGGCATCCTCCAAAGCACTGTTCAAATCATTTTAAGATGTAGGATCACTAAAAATACAAGAATGTGAAGCACAATTAACTTGATTCTTTAATTTATTCAACAAGGATCTGATGCGTTATAGGTGCTCAATAAAGATCCAGTGGGAACAAAACAGGTAAGGTCTACCAGAGAGTTTATAGGAGATTGGAGGGTTCAGGGAGAGAGCAGAAAGTTAGGGGGAAGAAAGTCATTAGACATGTATCACGGACCATAAATACAAATTATGGAGACCATATCAAGTGTCATGAAGGAAAAGTATAAGGTATAACAAAAGCATAGAAGAGGGAAATTTAGCATAGATTACAGAGTCAGGAAAGGTTTCCTTGTAGGAGTGACACTGAATCTGAGATCTGGAGAATGTGTAGGCATTACATTAGTCAGACAAAAAGTAGAGGGGAAGAGGAATGAGCAGAGAAAGTGGTTTTGAAACAGAAACGAACATGGAAAGTCCAAAGGGACAGAGGAGACTGGCACACAGTAAAAATCAGGGAGTGTGTAAGTTTGGCATGGAAGGATGGGCAGGCGCCAGATTATACGCACACTTAGTGGATCCATAAGAACTTTAAGATTTTAAGTGCAACAGGAAGCTATGAAAGGCTTTAAGTTTTATGTTCCAAAAAGATCATTCTAACTGCTGAGAAGAGTTGGATGAGGGCATGAAAGGAAATGTAGATCTTTTAAAAAAGACTTTATTCAACAATTATCACATGATTTCTCTGATATGAGGAATTTGAGAAGCAGGGCAGGGGATTGTGGGGGGTAGGGAAGGAAAAAATGAAACAAGATGGGATTGGGAGGGAGACGAACCATAAGAGACTTTTAATCTCACAAAACAAACAGTGGGTTGCTGGGGGGTAGGGGGCTGGGATAGGGGGGTGGGGTTATGGACATTGGGGAGGGTATGTGCTATGGTGAGTGCTGTGAAATGTGTAAGCCTGATGATTCACAGACCTGTACCCCTGGGGCAAATAATACATTATATGTTAATAATAATAATAATAAAGACTTTATTCATTCATTTGCCGGAGAGAGAGCAAGCAAGCACAAGCAGGCAGAGTGGCAGGCAGAGGGAGAGGGAGAAGCAGGCTCCCCTGAGCAGAGAGCCCGACAATGAGGGGGATCTCAATCCCAGGACCTGAGATCATGACCTGAGCTGAAGGCAGATGCTCAACTGACTGAAGCCAGCCAGAAGCCTCAGGAAATGTAGATATTTAAGGGGACAACTGCAATGGTCAAATTGAGAGATGATGGTAACCTGGCATAGGGCGAGAGTAATGGAAATAAAAAGATTCAAGATCTATCTGAAAGGTAAAAACAGTAGGACTTGGTGATAGACTGGATGGGGGCAGTGAGTGGAGAAGAAAGAGAGAAGGAAGGTAAGAAAAAAAATACATTTTTTAACAAGTTTTTATTTTTTAAAGATTTTATTTATTTATTTGACAGAGATCACAAGTAGGCAGAGAGGCAGATGGGGGTGGGGGTGGGAAGCAGGCTCCCCACTGAGCAGAAAGCCCAATGTGGGGCTCGATCCCAGGACCCCAAGATCATGATCTGAGCCGAAGGCAGAAGCTTAACCCATTGAGCCAGCAGGTGCCACAGGAAAAAAATACATGAAGAATTTCTAGATTTTTCTGCATAAGCAAGTGTCTGGAATAAGGCATGATTTGTTCACAAGGGAAAGCAGGGAAGGAAATTATCTTTGTTTTTACTGGGAAGGGGGTGGCAGAGTTAGAAGACCAAGTATTTATTAACAATTTCTTTCAAACAGCAAAAATATTACTCATGTTTGGGTTTTGTTATTATAATTTTAAAGAATTCCATCCTCAAAATTAGCATTTGTCAGACTTCACTTTCAATTAGATCCTCCAGTAACTAGAAAATACTTCCCCAAATAATTTTCTTAAAACTATCTTCCAAATAATTTTAATGATCGTTTCACTTGTGATATCCTATACTCAGAAAGGAGTCAGTAGGCAGTTGTAAGAAGTGTAGACCCTATGAGATTCTTCTAGTTAAAATGATGTCACTAACATGGCAGGTTAAGTATGTGATCTATGTCTCAACATTAAGGGAGAGTCAGGGGAGGAAGAAATCTAGGTCTGATCAAAACACCTCAGCTTAGAGTCCCGAAATTTCCCAATTTTAATAATTTTTTGGAAGGTTAAACCATCGCTTGTTTCCTGAAGGATGAAGAAAAAATTCAAGATCTACTTAGGAATTAAAATCTACAGAATATGATGGAATTAAATGGGGAAGGTGGTGAGGAAAAACAGGGAGGGAAGGAAAGGGAGAGAAAGACATCAAGAACAGCAGTTGGGATTTCTGCAGCGGTCATGCATTCCTCTGACCTGAGGGCACTTGGAAGAGGCACCCTCTGAAAAGTGGGCGTTTGGGTGAGTAGGGTAAAAAAGGTCTAGGATAGGTATTGAAACTGTCCAATCTATAGATAATTATCTGGCCCAAATCTATATACAATTACCTGGCCCAATACTATGATACAGTATCATATTTGTTGAGACCATACAAAAATGACCTACCCATGAAAATCTAAGTTTCTGACTTCTTATGAAAATCTTGGAAGATCAGTCACACAAATCCCACGTTCTCTGGAGCCAGCCATAGGCTAATGCTGAGTGATGGCTATGCCCCCAGACATGCACCCTTCTGTTCTAATCCTTATTGTCCCTCAACCAGCCACTCCACCGATCTATTATATGTAAGCATATGAATTCGGAACTCTAAGTCTAAAACCTGGAGTCCAGAGCACCCTTCTTTGTTAGATGGGATGCTGCTCAGTTGCTGAATGGTTGAATAAAGCCAATTAGATCTTTAAAATAATAATAATAATAATAATAAACATGGAGTCCAGAAGCAAGACTGAGGCTTGACACAAGGGCATTTCTTTGGGAAATGAAAGGAGGAATGAATAGGAACATATCTGGGAAAGCAAAGCTAAGTCTAGCTTTTTTAGGAATGGTTTTAGTAAACACTGAAAAACGTCAGAGAACAAATTTATGAGCAGAATAGGATACCTCACCCCAGACAGTCTGGCTATGTCCAACCTACTAGAGCACTTCTACTAGAAGAGCAGAGGGACCTACGCAAATTTCTTCGTAAATGTTTTGCACTGGTACATGCTTCAATTTGTCCAATTACCAGGAAAATGTGAGTGTGGCCAAAGGAGAAGCCACAGTGAGCAAGGAAATCATGTATCTGAATGAGCATGTTTGCCTAGAACAGAAAAACCTTGGCTTCCCAGTGCAGAGGGCTTGCTGACAGTCACTACAGGAATAGACGGAACCAAAGCTCAGCGTTTGCATTCACTTGAAGGCATAAAACAGGAGAACTTGGTGTTATGCTTTATTTATTTGTTAGAAAAACATTCTGTAGAAAATGCCCATTAAGCATCCCCCTAAGTTCCTTTCCTGCAGGCTTTAGCACACTCTAAATGGCTGTGCCTCAGGCCAGTGTACAGCGGCGCCTCAGTCCCAGGGCCGTGTCCCATCAGCATTGCAACGTCACTAACAGCAATCTCTGCAGGAGAAGAGACTCTGCTCCAAGCTCTGCCACCTTCCCATTCTGCCTCTGCTCACTCTGACTTGTTAACATACTTCCTCTTCTCAGAAGAAAAATAAATCATTTAGGTGTATATATTATGAATGCAGTTATGTAATTCAAAAAAAGCATACATGTTGACAAGAATGGGAAAGTATCAGCAGAAATAAGGACAACAATTGTTAGGAAGGATTTCTCTCTGAAGGAAGTACTTTAAAATATCTTTGTTACATAGTATCTTTTGTTAAAATACTCGAATTTGAGAAGCAATTTTGAAAAAAAATTTTTTTTTGCTCTCTGACATTACCTTAGAACTCTTTGACTTGAGATATTAAAAGTATGAAGCAGAAATATTCATTCATCTGCTTAGCCAGTAAACTACCTTTTGCAGGTTATTGCACTTAGAAGCTTGCTGGAATGGTGGGGAATATAAACGTTCAAGACTTGGTAATTGCTTTTCAGTGACAATGTGGCTTATGTTCCTAAAAAGCTATAATAAAGGCAATCTGAATGAAGTTTGGTCTAGAGAATTGTGACAATGTAGTATCAGTATTGAAGAGAAGGTAAAGACCAGTCCCATGCCCTGGACTTCCCAGAAAGGAACGTTTAGGCTGGGCCTGGAAGGATGAGCAAGGTCTCACGAAGTCAACATGAACACTCGCTCCATTCCAGGCTCCATGCTGGACACCCTCACAGATGACAACTCATCAGTGGCGACCAAGTTGGGGTAGGGTTGGGAGTTTACTGTGGAAGGCCAGAGATGGGGGGCTGGGAGGAGAGGAGGGGCGGTGGAGGAAACAGGTAAGACAAAGAGGGATTTCATTTTGTATTAATCACAGGAGAGAACACTTTAATGTTCTAAAAATGTTAGAAGTTTGATCTAATAATTCCATTTGTGAGAATTAATCCTAGGAAATAATTCTAAAGATCATAAAGTTTCAATGCATAAAGATTTTCACTGAAACACTAGTTTCCATAAACGTGTTTAAAATAATATCCTCTTTTCATCATTTTTTTTGCTCCTTACCTTGTTTTATTTTCTTCACAGCACTAACCATTGCATTTCATTGCATAACTGAATAGAATACCATAGCACACAGGCATACCTTGTGTTACTGTGCTTCAAAGGTACTGCAATTTTGATGAATTAAAGGTCTGTGACAGTCCTGCATTGAACAAATCTATCAGAGGCAATTTACCAATAACAATTGCTCACTTGGTGTCTGTGTCACATCCTGATAATTCTTGAAATATTTCAAACATCTCTATTATTATTTATTTGTTATGGTGATCTGTGATCAGTGATCTTCGATGTTACTATTGTGATTGCTTTTGGATGTCAAGAACCGTGCCCATTGAAGACAGCAAACAATAAATGTTGTGTGTGTTTGGACTGTTCTACTGACTGGCCATCCCCCGTCTCTCCCTATCTCCTCAGGCCTCCCTATTCCCTGAGACACAACAATATTGGTACTAGGTTAAGTAATAACCCTACGATGTCCTCTAAGTGTTCAAGTGAAAGGAAGAGTTGCACATCTCTCACTAGAAATCAAAAGCTAGAAATGATTAAGCTTAGAGGGGAAGGGGTGTCTTCATTAAGCTTGGTAAAACAGGCCAAAAACTAGGCCTCTTGAGCCGAACCATCAACCAAGTTGTGAATGTAAAGGAAAAGTTCTTGAAGGAAATTAAAAATGCTATTCCAAAGAACACGTGAATGATAAGAAAGTGAAAACAGGGCACCTGGCTGGCTTAGTTGGTTGGGTGTCTGCCTTCAGCTCAGGTCATGATCCTAGGGTCCTGGGATCAAGTCCTGTGTCAGGCTCCCTGCTCAGCAGGGAGTCTGCTTCTCCCTCTACCCTTCCCCCAGGCTCATGATCTCTCTCTATCTCTCTCATTCAAATAAATAAATAAATAATCTTAAATTTTTTTTTCTTTTAAAAAAAATTTTAGTTTCTATATAGAAGATCAAATAGGCTAGAACATATTCTCTTAAGCCAAAGTCTAATCCAGAGCAAGGCCCTAACACTTTTTAATTCTGTGAAGGCTAAGAGAGGGGTGGAGGCTACAGAAGAAAACTATGAAGCTAGTTGGGGTTGGTTCATGAGGTCTAAGGAAGAAGTCACCTCCATAACATAAAAGTGCAAGGAGAAGCAGCAGGTGCTGACCGAGAAGCTGCAGCAAGTTCTCCAGAAGAACTAGCTAAGATCATTAATGCAGGTGACTACACGAAACAACAGATTTTCAGTGTAGACAAAGCAACCTTATCCTGGAAGAAGATGCCATCTAGGACTTTCCTTGCTAGAGAAGAGAAGTCAATGCCTGGCTTCAAAGCTTCAAAGAACAGGTTGGTTCTCTGGTTAGGAGCTAATACAGCTGGTGACTTTGAGGTCAATGCTCACTGACCGTTCCAAAAATTGTAGGGCCCTAGAGAGTTCTGTTAACTCTAGTCTGCCTGTGCTCCATCAATGGAACAACCAAGCCTAGATGACAGCATATCTGTTTACAAAATGGTTTCCTGAATATCTTAAAGCTCACTGTTAAGACCTCCTGCTCCGGAAAAAAAAGACTGCTTTCAAAATATTACTGCTCACTGACAATGCACCTGGCCACCCAAGAGCAGTGATGGAGATGGACAATGAGACTATGTTTTCATGGCTGCTACCACAACATCCATTCTGCAGCCCATGGATCAAGGAGAATTCTGTCTTTCAAGTGTCACTATTTAAGAAATACATTCTGTAAAGATATAGCTGCCAGAGATGGTGATTCCTCTGCTGGATCTGGGTAAAGTAATTGAAAATCTTGGGGAAAGGATTCCCCATTCTGAGGCCATTATGAACATTCATGATTCATGGGAAGAGATAAAAATACCAACATTAACAGGAGTTTGGGAGAAGTTGATTCCAAACCTCATAATGACTTTTTAGTGGAGGAAGTCACTGCAGATGTGGTGGGAATAGCAAGGAAACTAGAAAGTGAAGCCTGAAGTGGATGGAATTGCTGCCATCTCATGATAAAACTTGAACAGATGAGGAGTTGCTTCTTATGGATGAGTAAAGAAAGTGATTTCTCTTTTTTTTAATTTTTAAATCTTTTTTATTAACATATAACGTATTATTAGCCCCAGGGGTCTAGGTCTAGGTCCAGGTTTACACACTTCATAGCACTCACCATAGCACACACCCTCCCCAATGCCCATAACCTAAACACCCTCTCCCTATTCCCCTCCTCCCCAGAAACCCTCAAGAAAGTGATTTCTTAAGATGGAATCTACTCTTGGTGAAGATGCCATGAAGATAGTTGAAATGACAACAAAGGATTTAGAATGTGACATAAACAGTTGATAAATCAGCAGCAGGGTTTGAGAAGACTAACTCCAATTTTGAAAGGAGCTCTATTGTGAGTAAAATACTATCAAAAAGCATCACATGCTACAGAGAAATCGTCTGTGAAGAGACAGTCATGCAGCAAACTTCACTGTCGTCTTAAGAAATTGTCCCAGCCATCCCAGCCTTCAGCAACCACCACCCTGATAAGTCAGCAGCATCAACACTGAGACAAGACCCTCCACCAGCAAAAAGATTATAACTTGCTGGAAGCTTACATGATGGTTAGCATTTTTTTTTTTAGCAATGAAGTATTTTTTAATTAAGGCATGTACATTTTATTTTAGATATAATGCTATGGCACACTTAACAGACTATAGTACAGTGTAAACATAACTCTTATAGGGGCTAGGGAGCCAAAATATTCATTTGATTCACTTTATTGTGATACTCGCTTCACTGCGGTGGTCTAGAACCAAGCCTGCAATATCTCTGAGGTATGCCCATATTTGTTTACTTGTTGATTGTCTGTTTCACCAAGTAGAATGTAGGTTCAACTGGGTCAAATATGTTAACCTGTCTTGTTTACTTTTATAATCTTCAGCATAAGCAAATACTCGTAGAAGGAAGGAAGAAAGGAAAGAAGAAAAGAAGAAAGAAACCATAATGGAAATAAATAGGGACAACTTAAATGTTCGAAAATGCAGGAATAGCTAGGTAAATTATTTATCATATATCCATTTGGTAGACTTCAACCATTAAAATGTTTAAAATTAGAGCTTATACTATATAAAAATGTGTATTTATTCATGGTAAATTTTTTAAAATGCAAACCAAATCAGGTGTATTGCACCATCACCAGAACATTTTTTTAAAGCCCCCAAACCAGAAGGAAATATCCTAGAGCATTTTCAGTAATTTTCTTTCCTTATGTAGCAAAAATGTAATGTTCTTTAACCTTTCATTTTTCTATTCTATAGATTATCCAATTTTCCAAAGTGAGCTTGGGATTCTTGAAATAGGAAAAAAATAGAATAAAACTTCAAAGAATCTTAATAACGAAAAAGCAATTCAGGCAGGAACAGGTCACATAAGGCCTTAAATGCTAGGTTAAGTAGTGTGTATGTGAGTTATCCAGCACTGAAAAGCTACTATGGTTTTTAAGCAAAGCAATTGGGGCATCACAGGGACGTGCCAGGGCGGTGGGAAGGATGGGTAAGAAAGGGACTGAGACTGGAGACAGGGAGACACAGGAGGGAACTGTGCTAGGCCAGGTACAAAAGGATGGACTAAGTATTGTGAGCATGGAAAGAAAGAGCTAATATGGGCAAGGCTGAAAACCAAGCACTGGTGAGTTCTGGTAACTGATTCAGCATGGAAGAAGAAGGAACCAGAAGTGATACAGGGCTTTCCTTAGCTAGGGGAATGGTAGTACAGTTAGGTGGCATACGATTCTCTGTTCTCTAAGAGCGAGCTCTGGCAAGAACACTGTCCCACACATCTTGTTGTCCAGTTGAGAAGCTAACTCAGTTATTTTCTTCAGTATTGTAAAAGTTGGATAATAGTTACCACCTCTGTCAGACTGCAAGGGAGAGAAAGCAAAACAAAACAGAAACTCCTTTCAAAAGCTGAAGACGGATCACAAGCTTCAGCAATGTCCAAAAGGCTTCCCCTCAGAGGCAGCGTACCCTAGGAGCTTAACAATTCTGCTACATGATCTAGTAGGTGCGATGCACCATATACAATTGATCAACTCCTGCAAAACTTGGTGAAAGTTTCAGATAAAAGGGAAATTTCCATCTTTATGGAAGAAACTGATAAGCTTTCTTCCTTGATTTGGAAAAACAGTATTTGGGGTTTTTGCGGTCATTGCTATTAACTACAACACATTTCTTTCTTGGGAGTATCAGTGTCTCCAAGCATTGTCTTAAAATAGGCACAGGTAATGTAACACCGAGAAAGTCTTAGGAAGCAAACCTTTGTTAAAACAGAGTTACATACTGAAAATTATCTTTAAAATACTTTTATCCTTAAAAATACTTATTAGCATCAGAATTAAAGGCTACATCTTCCTAAGTCATTAGTAGCAGCCGTAATCCTATCTGTTTTCTGAGTCACCAAAATGGTAGCTAATAGTAGGACCACTCCCAGATAAGAGGAGGCCTCACAGTGCTGGCACCAGGAGGTGAATTACCTATCCACTGTAGAGAAGAGCTCTTAGCCAAATTAAAGAAGACTCTAGGACCAACTGGCCAGTTTTACAGAAAATAATATACAAGAAGAGAAAGGGGGAAAGAAAAAAAGCCATGCAACAGATTTGTGGCCTCACATACCTGGCATCAAGGAACCTCGATCTTAAAATCATAACTGCTTCACAAGTGCTTTGTTTGAGCTGCATCTGAATGGAACTAAATTTTCGATGGATGATGCCCACCATTCTTTCAATCTCTTTTGGGGAAATGGGACGTGTTCTACTCTGCTCTCGGAGAAGGTTCATCACATGTGTAGTGAATTCATTACATGCCTGTAAAGGGGGGAAAAAAAGTCACTCCTTAGGAATCTGGTATTTTATATTATCATACCCAAACATTAACATCTAAATTTCCACTTCATTTGCAATTGCCAATGGTATTATGCAGTGGGTAGGGGAAAAATGAAAGCTAAGACATTTGTCAAATGGCAGTGATAGTCAGATGGGGCAGCGAGAATTCTGAAACTATGAATGGCCCAACATGCAAAGGAGGCAGAGCACTCAACTGTCCTTCCATCCACCATTTTCCCAGTCCCAAAATGAGGTTTTCCCACTGGAGGACACGCTCTACCAACTCCTATGTATAAATATGAATATATGTGCATTGTCAATACTAAGCACCTCCTGTTTTTCTCTGGGATTTTACATATATTCAGCAAATGTTTAATGAAGGGCTATGGAGGGCAAACTCTTCCCGATGTTATTAATGTAGAGAGAAATGAGCAAGATGTGCACTTGGTCTTTAGTACGATAAAATATATATAAGAAAATAATTCTCAAGCAAGCAGTCTGTGCAAAGTGTCACTAGAAGATATGATTAAGGGTTTCCTAAGTTCCAAGGAGGGAGTATTCTCATCTGGAGGCAGAGAAATCATCAGGCTTCATGGCAGAGTGACATTTGGGCTTCAAAGAATGGGTAGGATTTTTGAAAGGTGGATAAAGGTGGACATTAGGAAGAATGCTAGGCACAAGAAAAACCCTGGAAATAATGATAGGTAGCAAGTTCAGAGGATGAGAGAAAATGTAGAGGAGAAGAGGGATTCAGGTCCATGGAAGGACATAAAGGGCCTTGGATGACAAGGATGCCACTGTGCTGGAATAATGTGGCTGTGGTGTGGGTCTTATCAGTAGATATGAGCCCGCCGTGGAAGATGAGTAAAGCTGCTTTACTCTCAGGACAGGTGCAGCAGGAAAACAAGGATCAGACTTGGGTCTCAAACTTTTAAGTTAACAACCCTCAACCCCTCTTTCAGTTCACCTGTATTGTTTTAAATCGATAAAACCAAGTAATGGGGCCTACACTGAAATCTACTACTGCTTTGGTAAATAAAGCACCAGTCTATACCCTTGGATAAAAAGAACATCTTCTGGCATTTTCATTAAAAAGGCAAGACAGAGATTCTATATCTTATTGCACAGATGCCCCTGGTAGGGCGAGCAGACAGAACAATCATTGATCACGGCAAGACATAGTTTGAAGCTGTAATAATGTCCACTTCCCTACAGATATCCTGAACATTGCTCACATATAGCACATGATGGTTTTTCTAACTGCTCATTAGAGAACTAACCTTTCAAGTAAGTACACTGGGTGTTTCAGTTACTCTAAGCTTTACAGAGCTTTCCTATACATATTTCTAAGGTGAGGTAAAATGAGTCTTGCTTATCAGTTAAAGGGTGCTTTTTTCTCTCCCCCCATACGTTTTAAGTCTTAAGCAATTTAAGCGAGTAGTGACCCTGTGTTACACTTAACAGGATTCTTCAGAGTGTAGAACTGTGCAGTAGAGACAGACAGTAGGCATCCAATGAGCATCTACTGACTGGTCAGTTGTATTACAGTTCAAGAGGAGTAATGTTGATTAGTATCTGTAAGTACGTTATTCCTGCACCATATGTGAAGAATTCTCCACTTGCAGTCCGTGGATAAGTTTAGAATGTCTATGGCTCCCTGAAATCTTATCCAAGTTGTATGCAGATGTGTAACACCTGAAGGGACAATCTGGAGAGTTTTGTTTTCTTTTCAGATTCTTAGCCAGTTTATAACTAAAAAAGGCTAAGAATTATTGTCCTAGGTTAATATGCAGTAAAATGTTAAAGAACTGTGAAGCTCTAAAATCTTAAGTTCTTTCTACCTTTAAGGAAACCAAAATAAAAATAAACTTAAGATTGTCCCCCATTATACTACTTACCCTACCGTAGGCCAAACTGAATATAAGTGGTCAACCTGCCAAGAAATATTTGTACATATTTTTTTCTTGCACTTTCTCTAAAGAGATGTTCATATAATTTCAAAATTATGTAATTTGACAAACTCTCACACTCTGTTTTCTCTGTGATAAAATGAAGAAACCTAGACCAGCACCATGTCCCCACACAGGGATCAGAAAGTATGTGCTTCTATAGCTAGTTCCAGAGAATGTCAATAGATGGTCCAAAAGTACAGTATGTTTGGAAAATGCTGAGTTAACCAAAATTTTTAAAGATTTTTGTCTGTCTGTTTTTGCAAGACTCCTCAAGACTAATATGGCAATATGCAGAATAAATCTTTAAGGGGGAATGGGAAAGCCAACTTTCCCCCAGATAAATTAGGATACAAAAATCTCTTTTCTCTAGAGCAGTGCTATCCAAAAGAAATACACTGCAAGCCACATATGAAATTAAAAAACAAAACAAAACAAAACTCCAGCAGCCACATTAAAAAAATAAAAAGAATCAGGTGAAATTAATTTTTAAAATATATTTATTTAACCCACTATATGAAAACTATTAACATTTCAACACATATTCAGTATTTTAAAAACATGGCTAATGAAGAATATTACGTTATTTTGGGGGGCACACTTTCTAATCTGGGACATTCGCACATCTCAGTTCAAACTAGCCAGATTTCGGGGTTCCTGGGTGGCTGAGTGGGTTGAAGCTTCTGCCTTCGGCTCAGGTCATGATCCCAGGGTCCTGGGATTCAGCCCCGCATCGGGCTCTCTATTCAGCGGGGAGCCTACTTCCTCCTCTCTCTCTGCCTGCTTCTCTGCCTACTTGTGATCTCCATCTGTCAAATAAATAAATAAAATCTTTAAAAAAAAAAAAAAAACTAGCCAGATTTCAAGTGCTCAATCACTCCCCATGACTAGTGGCCACCAGACAGGATAGCACAGCTCTATGGCATCTTGCAGACTCAAGTGCTAAGAAAAACTCTCTGGGAAACCACATCCTGAGTAATCTTTGACGTTTCTTTCTTAATTCTTTCTCACCATGCATTCACACAAACACACGCAAAAAAGACAGTTTCATTTACGAATGTCCTTGGTGAAGCAAGAGAAATTCTTCATTTTATTACATCTCAACCCTTCACGACATCTGTAAAATTCTGTGTGACAAAATGGGAAACAAACAAAAAGCACTTCTACTGCACATCAATGGTTGGTTATCTTGAGAAAAAGCACTTGTGAGACTGTTTCAGTTGTGAGCTAAAGCTGCTTTTTTCATGGAACACCATTTTTTCAAAAAGCAAAACCAACACATTATAATTATTCAGACTCGGGTATTTGGTGGATATTCTCTCAAAAATGAAGTGTGTCTGCCATGTCAAGTCAAAGAGCTGACAGTAAGTAGTGTGTATCATAACAAAATTTGAGTTTTCAAGTAAAAATCTGAATTTTGCAAAACTTGCATCCATCATTGTGAGCTTCACGGTTTCCCAGTCAACCTTCTGATTAGCTTGGTGTTGATACTCTTAACTATATTTTGGTATCATAAAATGAAATGTGTCAACACTGGAAGATGGATATAACTCAGTGAACCAGTATTTTCCAAATGATCAATGCATGATGTTACAAAAACACCATTAGAAGTGCGTATTAGACCAATGGACTTTAAAGAAACAGAGTACAAAGAGTTAATTGATATAGTTTCAAACTCCACATTATAACTAACTTTTAAGGTATTACAACTTGTCAAGTTTTGGTGTAATATCAAAGAAGAAAGTCCATAGCTATCTGAAAAGGCTATTACCATATACTCCTGCCTTTTCCAATGCCATATCTGTGCGAGGTCAGATCCAGAAGCCCTTTGTGTACTTCAACCACATGAGAGCAGACTGTCTCCAGAAGCATGGGTAAGATCCAGGTGACTTCTACTGAGCCCAATATTAAAGAGTTTGGCAAGAATGTAAAAACAGAGTCATTATTCTCAATAGATGCTGAGGTTTGGGGGGAAAATACAGGTTTTTATAAAAATGTTATTTAGGTTAACATATAATGATTTATTATTGGTTTAAGATTAATTAATAAATACTTTCAATTTTTCTGTTTTGATTTCTCTCATAATAAATGTTGACAGATGAAATCTGTCCAATAAAAGCTCTTAAGGGTCTTTAATAACTTATAAGAGTCTAGGTTTTAAGACCCAAAACTTTTGAGAATCACTGTATTGGACAAAGGAAGCATTTTTAATTTGCACATATAACATCATAAATTCCTAAAAACCTAGCTCACACAGTATGGTAACATATATTTTTGACAGGGTGTACAACATGATAAATAATCCAAAACTCCTATGTGAATGATACCTGAGATGTTAGCTCTCTTAAGTTTTTCTCTAGCTGCATTTTAATCCCTCCAGAAATAATGTTTCCCTATGGTTTCTAGGAAGCATGTAGGGGGAAAAGGGTTAAAAGCAAAAAGTTTCTGCATCTAAAAACTCATAATTTCCTAAAACATTTGCTGAATGTCTCACAACTTATTAAGTGAACTCATCTATGATGCAAATGCTGATTAGCAATTTGGCAATAGCCCAACATTCACAGAATTCACATAGCTTTTCTTTAAACCAGTAGTTCATACATGATTAATTAGAACATCTCATTTATGTAGTGTGCACTTTAGCTCATTACTCTAAGTAAAATTCGTTAAGTATTTACATTTAGATAATTAAAATCTGGGTACACCCTTAAGAAAGATGCATACACTTTAGGCAAAGTGATTTTTTTCCTTTATACCACTGAAAGTAAATTACAGCCTCATTTACAGCATCATCTGTAACCAGTTTCACAGCAGAGCACAGTACTGCCTCATCTTCTAGTCCTTAAAAGGTATACATTTTTTAAAACATATAAATGCTATGAGAATGATCAAATGATCGCAGAGTTGTTCTGAAGGGCCACCCAACCACATACTAGCATCAATGCCGTTTTTAATGTGGGAGGTTCGCTTTAAACATTTATCACAATCTCTGTCGTACCTATAAGACTATACTATTAAAATAGACATTGGAGA